CTTTCCTCAATAGCAATCTCTTTGTCAGATTTTTTTCCTTGAGTCATTACCTTTGTTGGAAGACTTGTTTGGAGGAAGAATATCAACAATAATGTCATTAGATCCAACAAATAATTCGATGTGCTTATTTTTTGCCTCACGTTTATCAACTGGACTTTCAAAATCCAAGTCTTTCATATCATTTTTAAAAGATATTGGCTTAGACAATAATGACTCAAGGCATTCAACTTTCTCCTCACAAAGACTTACACATGAAAAAAACCAGTACCATAAGTCACCAACTAGCTTTTGCTTCTTATCCTTCTCTGCCCCATCAAGCAAGTTTTGTAAGCCAAAAATTGGTTTCTTCATAGCTTCTTTAGTCCAACGATGCAAAACATATTGCCTTGGAATCTCAAATAAGAACTTTCCTTTGATGACAAAGAGAATGTGACGACATAATATTCCAATAGATTCAAACATTTTACAAGAGCATAGGCATCATTAGAACACAAAACATATGTGACATGATAAGTTTTTGTCCTTGTGTTGTCAACAATTCTATATTACTCAATCCTTTCTTCTTCTTTGATGGTAACACTACTTATAACACAATTGTACAAAGCATGCTTGAATTCCTTTTGGAATATGTAAAATACATTATGAGTGTAAACTAATGCAGCATGCTTTTCCAAGTGCAGGGGGGTGACAAGTTGGGGATGTGTAGTTTTCGAAGTAGCATTCAACTTGTCTTGTGTGTGCCTTTGAGCATCGATTGCAGATTCATAGCGAAACCACAACTCAACCAATAACAAATGCTGATTTGTGAAATTAGTGAAAAAGCTATTTTCACTCTCTGATCTTTGAGTTGACCTTAAAATCCTACTCATAAAAAGGTCACGAAAGTAGGAAGGAATCCACATGTTCCTTATATTATACATATTTTTAAACCAATCTTCATTCACTAAATCAAATTCAGACATCACAGACTGCCAACCAATTTCAAATTCTTCTGGTTCAAGGTCTCTATCCCATACAACAGAGTTCAGTTTATGAAGAAATTCAGTTTCTAAGCATAATTTGGGCCTAATCTTTTGTGGCACTTTTTTCATAATGTGCCACATACAAAACCTATGTTTTGCCTTATCAAGAACTTTTTCAATTGCCACTTTCATCGCAGGGTCTTGATCTGTCATGATACAGGTAGGCTGACAGTTATCTATTGCCTTTAAGAAAGTTTCAAATAACCATTCAAAGGATTCAATATCCTCCTTTGCAAGTAAGCCTATCCCAAAAGTCACACACTTACCATTGTGATCAACACCCGTAAATGGGGCAAAAAACCATAGAGTATTTGTTGGTGTCACATGTTGTATCAAATGTAATCATATCACATAACAACAAATAATTTTTTCTACTAATTGCATCTGCCCAAAATACTCTTGTCAAGCGTTGATGTTCATCCATACAATGCTCAACGAAAAAGGCACCTTCACTGTTTTCAGCTTTTTCTTTCAAATTATTTATAAACAACGAAGCATCTTTCTCTTATATGTAAGCTTTCAAATCTCGATTAAAGTTCTTGAGATCATTCAATGTTGCACCTATATTATCATAGCTACCAAGATGTTCTTTCATCAACTTATACAACTTGTTTGGACCAATGTTCAATTTAGAGTTGTCAAAAATGAATTTTTTCTGGCCAAGTTTAAGGTTTCCAACATTTGCCAAAAAATTCATTGTGTTGGGAGAAGCAAGATTGTGGCTATGAGATTCATGAAAGACATAAACCATCCATTTTCCATCTAAACGTTCCCTAAACCCAATCATTGCATTACATCCAACACAATTTATGGTTCTTTTTCTAGCTTTAGGCTTTTCATCTTTCTTAGCAACTCTTGCTTTAATTTCACCATCCTTCGTAAACCCTTGTTTATTACAATATAAATATTTCAATTAGACTTTATCACTATCCTTAATTCTCTTTTCAGTACCTAGTCTTACCACAAACCCACCAAATCTAGCATATTGCTTATAAAAATCAACACCTTTAAGTAAGGAATGAAGCATACCAAGTGTAGGCTTTAGTTCAGGGGGACAACACAGTATGAACTCTTTTGTTCCTCTAGGAGTGTAACACAAACTTGGGCCCTTTAGTGACGGCAAGTTTTCAGCAACATTGGTAGTTGTAGATGCATTTGAGCAACTACCTTCTTCTGATTCCTTTTCCATTATCTGCATATAATATCAAATAATATGGTTTAAAATGGGTACTGTAATAAAATCAATATGATCCATTCCATGGTGCAACTAACTGAGCACCAACAAAACAGTCTACAATATATGGTTATGGTATCATAAAAAAGAGTTACTATATGGTATTGAACAAGGTGTTAGTCATTCAAGCAAATACACAAACACCTTATGTGTAACAATTTCTCCTAGTGTCTAATATCATATATTCAGGGAAAAAAACTTCAATACAAAAAAAAAAAAAAAAAAAAAAAAAAAAAATATTTATATTGCAAACTATATTGGTTGAATCATTACAAAAACGAAAAAAGAGCATAGAAAAAAAAGAAAAACTTCATTTGAAACTAAAAGGTAGAGCAAATAAAGTCATTCAAGCAAAATCACAAACACCTTATGTGCAACAATAGAAAGCTGCACAGATGAAATGATTGAAACTTGTAACCAGAAAAATCAAGGAAATAATATCAAAATAGCATATTTATATGAAAAAAAGAACATAATATAAACTTAAATTCATGAAAAATGAATAAAAATCAAACATGATACATAGATAGTGATTTCAGCAACATTGATAGTGAAACGAATTGGATGAAAAAAATACCTCAGAATCCATTCGTCAATGTGATTTAACAGTTTGTGATTCTTAATTGAAAATTTTTCGTGGAAATTTTGATAATTAATTAATGAATTCTTCACAAAAAAAAAATTGGGGGAAAAAGGTTAGTTGCAGGAGAGAAGAAGCTTAGGTAAATCCCATTGAAATATATATATATATATATATATATATATATATATATATATATATATATATATATATATAAGGGATTTACATACAGAGCATAGCTTGCCCGGGCAGAAGAAGAGGATTGCAGAAGCAGATGCCGTACTCTAGCCGCTCGATCGGGCAGCCCTTGCCCGGTCAGACCGGACACCGTTGCGCGGAACTCGTTTTAGTTAATTTCGAATTTCTATCTTTTTAAGGGTATAAATACCCCTTGTAACCACACTTAGAAATCATCTTTTATTATTCCCTAGTATTATACTACTCTAAACCCTAGTTTTTCTCTCTTTTACGTAGTTTATTATTGTCTTTATTATGCTCATGTAGATTATTATTCTAGGGTTAGGTTAAACCCTAGACATGATTAATATTTGATTTATTCTTTTAAATTCTCAATTAATTATTTATATTTTTCATGCTTAATTGATTGTGCTTATGCCAATACTAGATTAGGGATAATTGGTATTGTTATTATTCCATTGTCTTGATCGCAACGGGAGTTGGGTTTTGACGGATTTGAATAGATCAATTAAGGGTATGAAATTCTCCACGGAAGTAGGTAGAATGGATTGTTAGGAAGTTAGGGTGTCGGATTTAATGTCTTTAATTTACATGATTCCACGGAAGTAGGTTTGATTGTTAATTAGGGAAGCCATTGACAACTCGGGAGAGATCTTTGGTATGTATAAGGCGTACCTTTCCTTGTGAACATATAATTAATTGATTGGGGTATGAATTTGTTTTGTATTGATTATGCTAGTGGTGATACTTAATTCTAGATGTTTTTATTATTTGATTTTCTTGCTTTAGTAGTATAATATTTTCAACCGTATTTTGATTGACTCGACTAGTTATAATTCATAGCAACTCAATATTGATACTACCTTCTCTGTGGGATCGACCCTGACTTTCCCTACTACATAATTAGGAGGTCTAGTTAGGCTTTTATTATTTTTGTTAGGTGTGCGACAGCCTATTAGTAGGTTCGATTCCTATATAGGTTATCTCTAAAAATAAATATAAAACACACTAAAGTAAATCAAAATATCTCAAAAGTAAATTAAAGTAGCTAAAAATTAATTTAAAATAACTAAAAAGTAAATCAAACTAGCTTAAAAAAAAAAAAAAAAAAAAAAAGTTCAACAATACAATCATAAGGATCACCTTATCAGATCAGCTGGAATATTTCTGGTTTCGTAGGTGTTAACAAATACAAACAACGGGTCAGAAACACCGATGGTATATAATACATGCACAATAACCTTTCTAGCCAGCCTATTGGCTACGATACTCTAACAACATAGGATCCACCTTAGTTGGGTCTTTGCCATAGAAAGCATTACCACTATGAGCTCTCCATCCACCATATATGTTGATAAAGATCTGATATGATTTCGATACTTGTTAGTTAGAAATTGTGTTATAGCCTTGTATAGCACATAATCTTAATAGTTGATGATTTCAATCTGATATCATTTCAATATTTGTTAGTAAGAAAGAGAAACTTGCATTCCCTCTCATATCATACTTTGAGTTATCCTCTAATATGTCTCAAGAGTAGATACAAAATACTAAAAAGTAAATTCGAAATTTTGCAAAAGTAAATCAAAATATCTCAAAAGTAAAGTAAATAAAAATGAATAGTAATCAACTAAAAAAGAAGTATATGAGTTTAAGTTAAAGTAAACGATTTCATTTAAAAAGTATATAAAACAGTACAAAGAGTAAATAATCCTATTTTTGGTAGAAAGCTAGTTAAACAATTACACATAATGAACCTACTTAGGATTCAAACCCATATCCTTTGCGCATTTGCACAATGCTTTACCAATTGAGCTAGTAGGCTAGTATATATTAACATCTGAAGTAAAGAAAAAGTAAATAAAAAAAATCGTAAAAGTAAATAAAATTATCTTAGAAGTAAATAAAAAATATATATAGACTTGGACTTTTTTCACTTTAATTGATGTACAAACACTAACATATATATATATATATAAACTTGGATATTTATATTAACACTTAGCTGTAATATTACAAATTCATCCAAAAATATAATACGACTATACAAGGCTACATAGTTTATTCACAGAAACGCATGTAACATTTACAGCAGCAGGTGGAAGACCAGAAGTAGCATAGCAGCAGAAGCAGCAAGCCATGGCAGGGTAGCAGCTGCAGCAACCTTGGTAGGGCAGCAGCTGCAGCATCCTTGGCAAGATAGCTACACTCAGCCACAATGCAGGGGTCAGACACCGATTCTTGATGGCTGATGCACTCTCATATTCCTGCAGAACCAAGATGCCCAACTCAGAGTACAGAATAGACTTAGTTCTTTTTTGTCTAGCCTGTTTGCAGCCCACAAAAACCGATCAGCCAAAAAGGAAGTTGGTGCATCAGCCAACAGATCATAAAAGCTACTATGAGACCATATGTTCACAGCATATCAATTTCATAATAGAAGGATCAGTGAAAGGTACTCTAATTCCAATGTAACTAAACCACCCTATTCAAATATATCTAGCAAAACTTCAAGCAAAACCTCTAAAAATGATTTAACACACACACAATTATTCATCAAATTTACACTTTGCCCACCCAAACAATAGCTACCAACACACAGCATCACACACTTTGCCTCGTGCTCCTTGGCCACATAGAGCCACACCATTCACACAACACCCAAGGCTACAAAGAAACCCTTGACACCCTCATGACTTTTACCCACACATTAACTCCCCACGCAGCCACTACCATCAACTCCATGCACACAAGTATATACCACACTCAGTCACTACCAACAACTCAAAAGTAACTACCATTAACTACCTGAGCTAGCAACCTAGTATAACATTCATTCCATTAAGTTAGGCATTTCATTAAACACTATTTGTAGTAAATCAATATTACTTAAAAGTAAATAGAAAACTATTTAATCTATAAAGTATAAGACAAGGCTGGAATCATCTTAAACTCCCCCATATTAAACCTTATTTAGAAGTAATACAAATGGACTCTCAAACACCACCATACACAACTCTAATTTCACTCCCCTAATACACGCATTAAGAATACACCGCCAACAAATCAAACCCCCAAATAAAAGCATAATATAAACAGTCACAGATACACCACACAGGAAAAGTCTAAATCGAGAAACACAAAACAAAATCAAAATTATATAATATAAATTCAATCGAAAGCTAGTTAAAGAACCAACAATAAAAAAAAAAAAAAAAAAAAAAAAATTAAACTCTTCAATCTGGAAAGAAAATTGTGACAGAACTAAAAAAAATCGCAATAAAATCACAACAAAAATAAGTAAAACTGCACATTACTAAAAAATAACAATAAAATAAAGAAAGCAAAAAAACCCTAAATTTCACAATTTAAATCGCTTAAGTTTGATTAAAAGTCAATAGAAGAAAGCAACGATAATCGAATTTCAATTAACACACTTGCTCATAATTAGCCAACAACTAAGATCCAAGAAAAAATAAACAAATTTAATATGCGAAAAACCCTAATAAATAAAATTAACTCAAAAAAAAAAAAACAAAGAACAAAACCCAAGTCGGAAGAATTACCTCTGCAGAAATGATCAAATCACACCAAATTCAACAACATGACGAACGAAATTGAAGAATTCGTCAGAATAGATGAGCAAAATCAAAGAAATAGATTGGCAAAATCGAAGAACAAAATCGTCGTTTAGAGAATTAGAAGGTAGAGAGAGAAAGTCATAAGAAGAGAGAGAAAGGAGGGAAGCAGCGAAAAAATTAGAGCAGAAGTCATTCATAACGCATATTTACGAAAATACCCTTAATGAAGCGGGTGAAATCTGCACTGTGCGATGAAATGCAATCAACGGTGTATAAGGATTCCTAGTTTATATTATAGGTCTTGAATCGAGATTATATATATATAGGAATAGGATCATGTAAAAACAAGAGTTAAAATAAAAACTGAAAACTTTTAATCTGAGCTGTTCATCAAATTGTATGGCTGAGATTTCTTTCCTCTTATTTTCAGACATTACTGAATTTCTCTCTCCTCCTTAATTTTCACGTTATTTTCTCTCTCCTCTCTATTCTCTCCTCTTTCGTACTTTCTCTCTCTTCAACTAGCTTCTCTGTTACTCTCTCTACTGTGTTAAGAGCAAATTTTGGCGAAAAAACTCTAGATATCACAATTCAGGTATGATTATATTCGACAATTTGTTTGTTTTTTCACGAATTTTCAGCGATTTTTGTGATTTGATATTTGCGTTTTTTTTGTTCGATTTTCATGAATTTTGCATGAGTTCGATTTTTCTAATTTGATTTTAAGAGTTTTGCATGGAGTTTGATTTTTTTTTTAGTTCGATTTTTGCAAATGTAGGCTTCGATTTTTGCTTATTTTTGCGGATCTATAGTTCGATTTTAGATTTCGAATTTCAGAGATTTAGTGTTCGAATTTAGGGTTTGATTTTAGCTGATTTTTGCGGATCTTGATTTCGAATTAATGGTTGTTTGGGGTGCAAATAGCTAAAATGCGATTTGTGTGTGTGTGTCTGTGTATGTATAGCCCTATGTGATCTCTGTTCATGCTGCGTGCTGGTTTGTTTGGGTTTGACAGGGGTTAGATGTGTTATGTTGTGCTACTTTGTGCTGCTTGTTGTGTTTGCCTAGGAGCTGACTTGCTTCTGTTTGCTGCTCCTGAGTTCGATTTTTTTTCATTTGATTTTAAGAATTTTGCATGGAGTTTGATTTTTTTTTTTAAGTTCGATTATTGCAAATGTAGGGTTCGATTTTCGCTTATTTTTGCAGATATGTAGTTCGATTTTAGATTTCGAATTTCAGAGATTTAGTGTTCGAATTTAGGGTTTGATTTTAGCTGATTTTGATTTCAAATTAATGGCCGTTTGGGGTGCGAATAGCTAAAATGCAATTTATGGGTGTGTGTCTGTGTATGTATAGCCCTATGTGATCTCTGTTTTCTGCTGCGTGCTGGTTTGTTTGGGTTTGACAGGGGTTTGCTGTGTTATGCTGTGCTGCTTGCTGTGTTTGCCTAGGAGCTGACTTGCTTCTGTTTGCTGCTCTCTGCTGCAAGGCTGTTTGTGCTGTTCTGTGAAGCTTTGTTTCTTCTGTTTGCTGCTGGCTGCTTGTTTTTCAGCTGTGCTGTTGCTGTGGGCTGCTGTTATGCTTGGATGTTTTCTGATCCTGCGTTGGTGTTCCTTGATGTTGTTGTGTTCCTCTCTTACAACCTGTCTTTGCTTATTTGTGTTGCTTTGTTTGTTGCTGTGGTGTTTTGTTGTCTTGTTGTTTGCCTTTATTTGTTTTGGCTTTGGTTGTTTCCTAGCTTGTACCTTGCTAGCTTAGTTGTACCAGATGGTGATTGTGTTTCATGTGTCCGGTTTTGGAGGGGTGTTGGACTATGTTTTTTTTAAAGTTTTGTTTAAAAAAAAGGTCACTATGCTATAAAAAGAGGTAACTACTTTGGTTTCTTTTGTTTATCTTTTCGTATGTCTTGTTACAGGGTGCAACAAGGATTTTCATTCGATTTGGATTAGATTATATTCCTATGGTGAGAAATAGAGGTGGTGCGACTTTTAAAAAAAGGAGGGACCTTTGCAATATTGTCTTCTATGTTTGATCTCCTGATTGATGTTCTTACTTTGTAAGCTGCTTGTTTGTGTAATTGCATTTTGCTGTATTAAAGTTGCTAATGGAGATGCATCTGAGAACAAGAAAAAGAAGCAGAAGAAGAAAAAGAAAAGAAAGACAGAGAAGGATGAAGAGGTTTCAAAAATAGAGCAAAATGCAAATGCAGAAGCTAAGATAAAGTAGTCAAGCAATCTAAGGAGAAGCCTGCCAGAGTTAAAACCTTTTTTACTACCCTTTATTTTTGTATACAGTGACCTCTGTGTAAATATGGTCAAAATTGAAATAGTGACCCTATTTTTGTATATAGTGACTTTTATGTAAATGTTGTCAAAATTGATATAATTATCTTATTTTTATATATAGTTAGTTATAATTTTTCTTTATGTTTTAATTTTGGTGTTTTTCCTTTGGTTTTAATTTTTTCCATTTTTAAAGCTTCAACTTGCAACATATCATGATTCTTATTTCAAATTCTTCCCCAAAATATCACTTATTACTTTTGTCGTCTTGTAATAGGTATGGCGATGATCATAAGCTTGCTGGATTTTCAGCAACATTGCAAGCTATAATTAATATAGTTATCTTATCTTTGTATATAGCGACTTTTATGTAAATGTGGTCAAAATTGATATAGTTACCCTACTTTTGTATATAGTGACTTCTATGAATAGGATCAAAATTGATATAGTTACCCTATTTTTGTATATAGTGAAAAATGTTGTAAAAATTGATATAGTTACCCTATTTTTGTATATAGTTACATTATTTTTATATATAGTGACTCTACGTTATTATTATTTTTTTAAACTGTTAGATCTTGTTAGTAATAATGGATGGTTGAGATTTTCTGTTTTTAGTTTTCACCATAAGCCCTGTTTTTAGCGGAACCTCCTCGTATATATATATATATATATGTATATATATTTGTTTTCTCGAAAAACTTAGATATCATGCTTATTTGTGCTATTACGTTAATTTTAGTTTGATTTTAGGTTTATTGGAATAATTATTAAGTTGATTTTAGTTTTATTTGAGTAATTATTAATTATTTGTGTTTTTACCTTGATTTTTGTTTGATTTTTCGGCTTAATTTCTTCAATTGTGTTTAATTTTTCTACTTAATTGTATTAAGTTTGTGTTCTTGTTCTTTGAATTGTTTGGATTTTGAGGATTATTCTAATAGTTACTTCCGGGAACTCCAACTTATCCATTTAAGCAATTTCAGAGTTACTCTTCTAATCCATTGAAACAATTCATGAGGTAAGATAATCTCTTGACCTTTTATTTTTAGTTTTTTTTTCCCTTTTCTACTACTACATGTCGCTATGTTGCTGCGGCCCTGCTACTTCCCTGTTGTTTCTTCCCTTCCTGTCTTTTGTGGTGTTATGCGGTTATGTGATTGTGTGCTAGTTGTACTTGGTTTAAATTATAGAGATGATGATTTTTATAAAGTTAATAGAATTATTAGTCAAGCAAATATTGTTTCTAGTTATATTGAATCCTGAGTTTTAGTGCGATTAAAATTATGGATGACTACTGATATATGTGTAATTGAGATTCCAAATGGCATAAATAGTCGTTTTTTTTACAGCTTTAGAGAATTTAGTTATAAAACTATATCTGAATTTGATTACAACTACTGAAGGTACCCAACAATTTTCTATACTTTATACCAATAGTTGTGGGAATTGGAACTATCTGTGAACAACAATGACTATCAAATCAGACTGTGTAATCTACTAATATGCATATAGTGTGATTCGTAATTGCTATTTAATATTACACACAAAGTCACAATTCACTTGCATGTAATTGAAAAAGGATGAGGATCAAGTGCAGCATCAGATATCCATGTTAACATTCATAAGTCTGGCAAGTGGATTGCTGTTGTTTTTACTGACAAAAGGCTTCGGTGAATGGGCTTTAACTGGTAATTGAAACTAGTATAGGAACTTTGTTGCTACCACATCCACATGCCAACTTCTCATGAAAATAACTTATTTTTCTGTTTTGATTTTGATTTCCGCTATTGAGTAGATTGTGTTGTTTCACCATCCCCAGACTGCCACCATCTCTTTTTTCATATCTCCGTGTTTTCGTTCAGCTTTTGTGGGAGTTAAGAATGTGAATCTTGTATCTGCAGCGAATTCGTATATACAGGTTTGTTTTTGATATGTGTTCTTTCTGTTTACTCTGCTTTGGAATGAGAGGATTTTGTGCATCTGATAATGTGCAATGTTCATCTTAATAGGAGCATTGCCTGAACACTAAGAATTACTAATAAATTTCACTATGCTTTTAGTCCTCAAATACTCCCAAATAAGATATGATATATATATATGACATATCTTAAGTAGTTTGTTGAAAATTTGTGCATTCCTAATTTGAATATAAGCTCTTCTTTCTCAGCTTACATCTATTAAGTAATTTTTAGACTGTGAATGGGAAAAACTGGAGACCCTTTATAATGAGTATAATGGTTATTTATGACCTTTCAATAAGTTGCTGACAATCATGCTTTGCAAAATCAGCATTTGAATAAACTTCGCTACCATTGTAGTAGCTTGTTTTTCTGACTCATAAATGTTCAATAAGGATGCAAGTGAACTCATGCTCTATTAAATGTTTTCAATATTTTTTTCTCTTTCAAGTAATTGTACACTCACATCTTATATTTTTGTAATACCAAAGTTTACTGGCGCGTAAGTTTCCTTCAGCTTATTTGTTTTATATACATCAACCTACTAGCCCAATTGGTAGAGCATTGTGCAAATGCACAAAAGATGTGGGTTCAAATCCCACGTAGGTTTTATTTGTGTAATGTAGAGACAAGCGTTTGTATGAGAGTTTAGTTGTAACAAAGTTTCTATAGTTATTAATTATTTTCAAGCTAATTTTTTGCTCATATAATTTCAAGTAAAGAATTGTTTGTTTGCTCATTTGATAAATGAACAAAGAATGAAAGAATTGTTGCTCATTTGATAAATGAGCAAAGAATTATTTGCTCATTTTATAAATGGTGGTTAGATCTTTGTTAGTCTTTGAATGATGTAAAAATGGTGGTTATATTTGAATCGAAATTGGATATTTTGTGGTGACTTTTTATTATGATGACTGTTGTGATGGTTATATTATGGTGACTTTTGTGGTAGTTATATTATGGTGACTTTTATACCTAGTGTTTATTTGAAATATTTTCTCATTTTACAAATGAGCAACAAGCTATTTTCTCATTTGACGAATGATTAATGAAATATTTTCTCATTTTTCAAGTGAGGAAATAATTGATTGCTCATTTCACAAATAAGCAAAGAAATGCTTGTTGATTTAATGAATGATTAAAGAAATGTTTACTCATTTGACAAATGAGCAACTATTTATTTGCTCATTTGACAAATGAGCAACTAAGTTTTTGCTCATTTGTTAAATTAGCAACTAAGTATTTGATCATTTGACAAATGAGCAACTAACTATTTGCTCATTTGCTAAATGAGCAAAAAATTGATTGCCCATTTCCCAAATTAAATGATCAAAGAAATGTTTGCTTATTTTACAAATGAGTAACTAATTATTTTCTTATTTCCTTCAAAAAAAATATTTGCTTATTTAACAAATGAGCAAACAAATGGTTGCTCATTTCACAAATGAGCAACGAGCTATTTGCTCATTTGACAAACAAGTAAAGATATATTTGCTCATTTGTCAAGTGAGGAAATAATTGATTGCTCATTTCACAAATGAGCAAAGAACTGCTTGTTGATTTAATAAATAATTAAAGAAATGTTTGCTCATTTGACAAATGAGCAACTAATTCTTTACTTATTTGTTAAATTAGCAATTAAGTATTTGCTCATTTAACAAATGAGCAACTAACTATTTGCTCATTTGCTAAATGAGCAAAAAATTAATTGCCCATTTTCCAAATTAAATGATTAAAAAAATATTTGCTTATATTACAAATGAGTAACTAATTATTTGCTTATTTGACAAATGAGCAAACAAATGGTTGCTCATTTCACAAATGAGCAAAGAAATGCTTGTTGATTGAAGAAATGTTTCAACTAACTATTTGCTCATTTGACAAATGAGCAACTAAGTTTTTGCTTATTTGTTAAATTAGCAACTAAGTATTTGCTCATTTGACAGATGAGCAACTAACTATTTGCTCATTTGCTAAATGAGCAAAAAATTGATTGCTCATTTCTCGAATTAAATGATCAAAGAATGTTTGCTTATTTTACAAATGAGTAATTAATTAGTTGATTATTTGACAAATGAGCAAACTAATGGTTGCTCATTTCACAAATGAGCAAACTAATGGTTGCTCATTTCACAAATGAGCAAACTAATGGTTGCTCATTTCACAAATGAGCAAAGAAATGCTTGTTGATTAAAGAAATGTTTGCTCATTTGACAAATGAGCAACTAACTATTTGCTCATTTGACACATGAGCAACTAACTATTTGCTTATTTGACTAATGAGCAACTAAGTGTTTGCTCATTTGTTAAATTAGCAACTAAGTATTTTCTCATTTGACAAATGAGCAATTAATTTTTTGCTCATTGTCAAATGAGCAATTGTTTTTTGCTAATTTGTCAAATGAGCAATTAATTTTTGCTCATTTGTCAAAAAAGTAAAAAAATTCAATGCTCCTTTGTCAAATGAGCAAACTATTTAATGCTCATTTTTTAGTGTGTTTGAATGTTTTAAACGTTAGCCTACTAGCTCAAGGGTAGAGCATTGTGCAAATACACAAAAGATGTGGGTTCAAATCCCACGTAGTTCATTTATGTAATGTGGAGACACAAGTTTGTATGAGAGTTTAATTGTAAAAAAAATTATATAGTTATAAATCATTTCAAACCATTTTTTTCTCATATAATTTAGTACGAATTTGATTTTTTTTTTATTAATTTTGTTTATAGAGATAACCTATGTAGGAATTGAACCTACATTCCCTATGCATTTGCATAGTGCTCTACCATTTGAGCTAATAGGTTTATCATATGTTTTAAATCATTTTCTATGTTATAAATTTTTAATCAGCTCATTTGATAAATAAACAAAGAATTGTTTGCTGATTTGATAAAATGAACAAAGAATTGTTGCTCACTTGATAAATGAGCAAAGATTTGTTTGCTCGTCTGATAAATGAGCAAAGAATTATGTGCTCATTTGATAAATGAGCAAAGAATTGTTTGCTCATTTATCAAATGAGCAAAGAATTGTTGCTCATTTATCAAATGAGCAAAGAATTGTTTGCTCGTTTAATAAATGAACAAAGAATTGTTTGCTCGTTTGATAAATGAAAAAAGAATCGTTTGCTCGTTTGATAAATGAACAAAGAATTGTTTTC